GTGCACAAAACGCATGATCGCACCGGCTAGTCTGGTGCGCGTTGCCATTTATATCTCTTTGTAGCTGCTTGCATGCATCTTTCGACACATTCATCTGATAAAATCAGTTTATTCACGCGGTGCATTTGGCAGGGCAGGGCTGCGTGCGGTTGCTTGGTTGCTTGATTTATGCAAAAACACAAAAATTCTGGTCGCATGGATTGCCATCTGGTGCTGCGAGCATTTCTCGCTCTTGTCATCGGGCCAGGAAACTCGCTATGAGTGTGACGGTTTGCAGGAAGTGCGAAGTAAGGCAGTGCGGTGTCTCGAAGGGCGGCAGCTTCGATCTGTGATTCTCGCGCATTGCACTGTACCGCTTGTCCTTGACTGTTTGCGTGTGTTTTTGACTACTTTGTGACTTTCAAACGCTGCTTTCATTAAGCGCCGTTTTCGAAAATTGGGATTTCTTTTAGAAATTTCACTTTATTCCATTGCTCCTATAATGTCAAATAGCACTGCACTCGAAAAACCCCTACTCAAAAATACTGATCGCGAAAATTTCCAAAAATATGAACGGGCAGTGTGGTATCCCATGTTTGTTGTGTTACCGAGATGCTTTCACTCCGCAGAGGGAGAGAAATGCCAGGCTGTTCGATCCTGGGTTGCCTACCTCCAGTTAACACCTAACGCTTGCTCACTGTTTGTGCGCTACTTGTTCGGAGGCGCCCGCGTACATGCAGGAATTAGATATCAGAAATATCTCCCGGCTTTTCTGACTAAGTTTTGTCAGCTAAAAAGCGGAATTCCTGATAGATCTAGTAGAATGTAAGGGAAATGTGGATCAAGTTGCTGGAAGTTGTAGCTTCATATGCCCACCATTTAGCTGCTTGCTTTGGCCAACACTGCTCACCACCTAGAGTTGCCCTTACCACTTCCTTTACAGTACATCGTAGCAATCCGGCGACAAAAGCAGCCTCTGTTAGGCCATGTTTGCATCATCGCATCGCAGTGCTGCTGTTGTGTCAGCGTCCCGTCTATGGTACCTTCCCGTTTAAAGCAGACAACCTACAGAACGCACCAGAGCTGCACGGAGC